TACCTCATCAGCATTCCTCAGGCTCAGCCCCTCCTCCCCTCCGCTCGCCATCATTTGGAGCCTATGCTGCTGTGACAGGCCCTCATCATCTGCCTCCTGTGACCCAAATTGCCCCGGATTAAAACCCTTCAGGATGGGCCCAAACCCTTGCCTGGCACTCACGACTCAGCCCCCACCTGCCACAGGAGGCCACTCTCCACCCTCTGCCCTGTACTCAAGATGGCACCACACCATCCACACCTGTGCGCCTTTGCCCACTCTCTTCCCTCTGCTCAGAATACCCTTCCCCCATCTGCTTATGGCCAAAGCATCCCCATTGTACAGACAGGAAAACTGAGCTCAGAGAGCTGACACAACTTGTCCAAGGTTGTAGAGCTGGCAAACGATGGAGCTGAGACCCCCAAGGAGGACCACCTGCAAGCAGCCCCTTTCTCTGCTCTGCAGCACTCAGGCCCTGCTGTAAGCCTCAGTTTGCCCAAGTGTAAAATGCGAGGAATAAAAGACTGTGGGTTCTTCCTGCTCTGACTTTCCCTGAGCAGGATTTCTTGATTCTGAGATGCTCTGAGGCTCTCTGCTGGTGACCTGGGGGTACTGAGCACAGCCACCTAGGATCCCCTAGCCAGCCACTTGGAAAAAAAAAAATGCTTAGGCCAAGCTATTACAAGTGGGCAGGCATGGCCTCCTGCCCCCCTCCTCCCCTCTCCCCACCCCTGACTGCTCCAGTTTCCATTTTCTATTAGTTTTCTATTGCTGTGTAGCAAAATGCCACAGGCGCAACAGCTTAAATGACACCCATTTATCAGCCCACAGTTCTGTGGGTCCAAATCGGCATGGCAGGGTTGGGTCCTCCGCTCGGTATCATAAGGCTGACACTAGGCTGAGTCCTTGTCTGGAAACTGAAGAAAAATCTTGTCCCAAACTCATTTGGGTTGGTGACAGAATCCAGTTCCCTAAGTTGTAGGACCGAGCCCCCATTTTCCTGCTGGTTGTCAGCCAGGGGCCTCTTTCAGTTGCTTAAGGAACCCACATTCCTACTCACACAGCCCCATCTTCAAGTCAGTGATAATGCGTCAAACCCCCCTCATGCTTCGGATCCCCCTGACTTCCTCTTCTGCCGGCAGTTGGAGGAAACGCCACTGATAAAGGTCCCACCTGATTAGGTCAGGCCCACCCAGGTAATATTTTAAGATCAACTGGGAAGCACATGTCTAAATCATCAAAGCGACCACATGATATAAGCTCATTATCACCTCACTGATGGGAGAACCTATATCCTCCCCCTCCCCAGGGGTCACCTTCAACGGACAGTCCCTGTACAGGGCCACAGCTTCATGGCATCTCAAACACCTGAGGGGCAGGCCGGAAGTGTCGGGGAGTTAGTGCTTCCAGGAACAGCCCTCAACCAGTGCGTGAGGATTGGTGGATATGTACCCTAGCTGCCCCACCCCGGCTGAGGCATGTTCCACACCAGTTCTCAGGGGTTCCCCTGCGGGATGAAGCCCAGTTGCCCACAGAAGTACCTCCCAGCTGCTTTCCTTCCTCCCCCAACTCACACTGTCACTCCCTCATTACATTCCTCCCCTCCCAGTTAAATCACTTGCACCCCAACTCTCATCTCAGAGTCTGTCACTGAAAGATCCCAAACTAAGATGCTAGGGTGCAGAGAGCTGGAGGACTCTCAGAGGTCATATAAATAGGAAGAGACAGGCTGGCGATTTGATCTCAGGCAGTCTGACATCAGATCCCACACTCTCAAAAACCATGCTCTGCTGCCTCTCATGCAATAACCGCAACGGTCCCATGGCAGGACGGTGGAGCTCTCCCCGCAAATCGGCTCACCCTTTGAGCTGACCCCATCCCTGGGTTCAGATGATTTTATCAAAAGGCTGAGCAGGCCTGTCTCCGGCAGGCCTGGAACAGACCCAGCCTGGCCTGTCCAGAGCTGTCCCTTGGCACCAGTGTCTGCTTCCTGGCTGGAGGGAATCCAGGACTGCCAGCCAGTGCCTTGAAGGGCACTTGTCTTTGGACCAGGAGGATACACTGGGATCTGGGACCTGGAGAAGCTGGGGGTGGCCGTGATCCGGGGAAGAACGTACTGAACTTATTCATTTATGGAGTTTACAGTGTGCCAGTCACTATTCTAAATGCTGTGTGCACGTAATGAAATGTATATTCCTCACAGCAACCCTTTTGAGACATGCACAATTAGTATCCCGTTTTTATAGATGAGGAAGCTGAGGAACAGAGAGGGTGAGTGACTTGCCAAGGTCACACAGCTAGTAGGTCTCACAGGTAGTCTGGCTCTTAATCATTGCTGAATGCTGCCTCTCCTGAAACTTGAGGTGAGCCTGCTGCCAGCTACTTACTCTGAGCTCTGCCTTCAAGTGCCAGCTCTCCAAGGAGACTTAGGCATGAACTTCCAAACAATCCCCAACTTTGGTGAAGTCCCACTTGGAAGGAGGGGCTGGCAAGGGAACAAGTCCTCAGGACTGAGAAGCAGTCGGCCAGAAGGAAGGACTGTGGTTGCAGGAAGATAACACCCTTCACTCTCCACCCCCTCCCCAAATCTCCTCTGCCTTCTAATTAGCACAGCCATTCATCCTCAGTGTATTTATTTATTCCTAGCCTAGTTTACAAATAATTTAAGAGAGCTTGAAAGGACAGGTGCACAGTATCTCCACCAACGATACTCCGATAAATAATGCCTGGCTTACTGCCTTAATGACCTTGCAACTGACACCTGAATAGTGTGATATTGTTAGATCATTACACATAGGGTGACCAACCCTTCCTGGTTTTGTTAGAACTTTCCCACTTCTAAAACTGAAAGTCCCTTGTTCTGGGAAATCCCTCAGAGACGGGCAACAGAGACAGTTGGTCACCCTTGTTACACAGGCTGCAGGCCACAAAGTCTACTTGCTAGAAGACTAAAAATTTAGCTCAGAGCTTCCTAACATCTAAGGCAAAGAGGGAAATACCATCTGTTATGAGATTTTTAGTGTCGAGAATAGTACAATCCAAGAGAACTTTCTGCAATGATGGAAACGTTTTGCACTGTCCAATATGATAGTTACTGGGTACATGTCTCTACGGAGCACCTAAAATGTGCCCAGTGTGATGAAGGAACCAGGTTTTCAATTTTATTTCATTTCAATCTATTTAAACAGTCACACATGGCTAGTGGCAACTACGTGGGAAAGCACAGTTGTATCCAATAAAAACAAACCAGGTGGTTAGGAAAAGCCTCTTTCTTAATATTGAGGCCTCAGAAATTTCTACCATGACTCATCACACTTAAGGTGAATACAAAAGTGGGTTCCACCTGGGTGCTTTCCTTTTCTTACACATGTAGTAACAGGAGGCACTTCTATAGCATACGCTCTGTGCTAAGCACTCTCATGCATCTTTTCATATGTTAATTCATTCAGTTTTGAAAACCATCCAAGCAGGTAGGCACTTGGGGCATCCCCAAGCCGAAGGCTCCCTGAGATACCTAAGGCTCCTGTTCCCCTAGCCCAGCGGTTCTCAACCTGTGGGTCGCGACCCCTTTGGGGGTCGAAGGACCCTTTCACAGGGGTCGCCTAAGACCATCGGAAAACAAAAGATATTTACATTATGATTCATAACAGTAGCAAAATTACAGTTATAGAGTAGCAACGAAAATTTTATGGTTGGGGTTCACCACAACATGAGGAACTGTATTAAGGGGTCGCGGCATTAGGAAGGTTGAGAACCGCTGCCCTAGCCTGAAAGGCAATTACATCTCCCTGACCTTCCCAGGGACAGCCAGGAGCAGGGGAGCAGGCAGGGGGCAGAAAAGGAGAGGGAACACTGGTGGGATAGGAGGCCAGGGAGAGGGTTTCCCGGGTGCCCCTCTCCCCACCCGCAGACCAACACTACATGACTGAGGCTGACTCAGTGGAAAAAGTGAGCAATGCCCGGTATCACTCTCTGGCACCAGAGGGCATTTGGGATGTCAGAAGGAAGATCCTGTTCTGCCAGGTAACAGAATGCACCTGCACGGCCTTAGACATGCAGCCTGGGCAAAATGCCACCTTTGCATGTGCTCTGGGCGGTCCCTGATGCTCCTCGCCACACTGACCCCCTTCCCAGGCCTAATTACCAGGATGTCTTGAGCCTGCTAAGCCCCTCAGGCTCTGGGGAGCAAAGCAGGGGCAGGCATGACCCGCGCCCCTCCTTCTGTGGAAAGTTGATGACTCCAGGGTCAGAAATAACCCTACAGTCAGCTCCCCGCCTGCCACTCCATTCCCAGAAAGTCTGGGCCCTGAGTCAGAGGGAAGAGCCCAAAAGTAAACAAGGTCCCAGATAATCTGCTATGAAAACCACAGCACCAGTCCATGGAATTCTCTGATAAATCAGAGACCTGGTGAAGAGCTGAGGCCTGGACATTCAGATGCTTTTCCCTCGAATCCAGCTGCATTCAGGGCTGTGTAGATCTGACCTGTGGGGCATGAGGAAGAATGGGTGTCTTTATGGCAGAGGGAACGGGGCAGGGGAGCTGGGCCTTACTCGCAGAGGTGCACAGGCTGGCACCAGAGGAGGAAGGGCCCTTAGCCCGCCCTCGTGTCCAGTTTCCTGGCACAGTGGACACACATTCATCAGGAATGGTCAGAGGCCAGTCGGGAGTAGGGAGGTGGGGTCACTGGATTAGGCGACAGGGCTCTCCAGGTGTCAGATGCCACTCCTTATTCATTTCCTCAAAATAGGGACACCAGGGCCCTACGCCATGGCTGAGTCACCGAGCCCAGTCCTCAGATCAGACTGGGCTGAATGAAGTTCTCCCCTCACTCCTGTTCACCTCCCCAGCAGAAAGGACATGTAACCGATTCCCCAGGATGGAAGAGTAACTTCCACAAGCCCTAAAAATAACCGAACCACTTCATACTCTGAACTTAGCCTCTCCCGCCCGCCCCCACTCTGGCCCACCCCCTAGCCAGCCAGATAAAAGCAGCTGCTGGGCCTGGCAGGGGACAGAGACCCGGAGCCAGGGCAGCGAGAAGGCATCTGACAGAGTCAGCAAAGCAGGACCAACCCCAAGCAAGAAGCTCGAGAGGAACGACAAACCTTAGGCCGCACCTGTCACAGACCCCAAGCACCCCATCAGCCAAGTGGGACCCTCAGGTGAGTCGCCTGCCTTTTGTCTCTCCATGGCAGGGCTGGCTGTCCAGCCTGGGGTCCAGCTGGACCCTCTGGCTGGTTCTCAGGATAGCAAGTATTAGGGGTGGCAGAAAGAGGTTAAGGGGCCATGCGGCTGCATGTGAGTGAGTGGCAGGGTCTCTGCTATAAAGACTCCATGAGAGAGTTAAAGGAGATTTAGCGTGAGCCCCATGGGAGTTCTCAGAGTGGCTGCCACAGGCCTGCAGCCCGCCTAAGGGACAAGTTCTTGCCAGTCTAAAAAAATCCAGAAAGGCTTTCAGGAGGAGGCGGCCTGCAGTTTTGATTTTTAAAATACAGGTATGGATGGAGTTCCTCAGGCTTCAAGGCTTCCGCATAGGCAGGCCCAGTGTCTGGAGGAAAGGGGGAGAGAGGGTGGTAAGCTGGCCCCGCTCTGCCTCGCCAGCCTCTGTGAGCTAGGGGCAGGCAGGGCTGTCTCAGCAGGGGGCCCCACTGCCCTTGCTCCCAGGTAGCTGTCATCCTCACACTCCCTTAGGGGTGCCTGCTGGGGAGCAGAGCGGCACCACAGCCGATAAGAAAGCTTCATACTTGCTACCTTCTCATTTCTTGGGAGCCAGGTGCCATGCCCAGCTGTTGTTGTGGGTGAAAGTCTTGGCATATCTGGCCCCAGGAATGTCTCCCCAGGGCTGGCCTGAGCCCAGCTCCCCACATATCATGGCCTAGGACCTGGGCCGGGATACAGTCTCTGCTCCACGCCATCATCTAGCCCAGTGGGAAAGGCCTGGGGGCAGATCTGGGGGGGGTCGCCAGGAGGGGAGACCAGACCTGAGTCCGCCCAGATGTAGAGACCTATGGGGGGCTGTGCCAAGGAGGGGCAGGCAGAGGTGGGGTCACCCTGAGGAGCTGGACAGCCCGAGGAGGCCATGTTCTGAGACTTGGGCCCCTACTCTAAGTCTGGCCCCAGTTCTGATTCTGCTCTCCCCTTACCATCATCCCTCCTTCTAGAAACTTAAGCCTAAGAGTCTCAGGCCAGGCAGGGGCGAGGATGGCAAAGCCAGGAGTTGGGGAACCTGCTTCAGGCCTTGCTACTGTTTTGCAGAACCTCCTGGGACAGCTCCTCTCCCCTCTTTGGGCCTTAGTTTCCCCATCTACAATAAGGGGGTCAGGGTCAGTGACCTCTGAAAGTCCTTAGGTCTGACATCCCTGGACTCCGTGATTCTAACAGCTTGTGACCATACAGGGATTCTGGAAATTCCTGGGGGTGGCCTCTGAGGGGTGGAGTTGGTGGCCTGTACATGCCATCTGTTCAGGACGCACTGGCGGTGACAGGACAGGGAGGAGGTGGGGACAGGCATGGTTTGCCTTTGGCAGGGAGTCCTCATTAGAACTCAGACACTACAGGAACTCCCCCAGACTGTCCGGTGAGACGGGGCAGGGGCAGGGAGCCCAGGGGGAAGAAAAAGATAAGGTGGGCCAAGGCGCCCAGGGTCCCACTGGCTCTGCCTGAGCCTCCCTCGGGAGGAGCCCAGGGCTGCCATGCTGAGGCCAGGACCCGGGCTATATTTAGCCCCAAGTGCAAAGCGGAGCAGTGGGTCAGGGGCAGCGGGAAGGGAACATGCTTCTCATTCTTTCTCTACTGGCCTCTGGGAACTGTTAGTACACCTGTCACAAGACAGATAAGACACAGAGGACAGAGCCCAGAGAAGGGCTTGAGGGGTGGGAGGCCATGAAGGGGGACCGGGGTGAGCTGGGGGAGGCCGGGCCCTGGTGCAAGCTGATTGACATGAAGAGGGAGCGAGGATGGGAGCACAGAGCAGGTCAGGGCCGGCTGCACACAGTTGGGACTGAGTCCCCAAGAGCAAGGGGCAGGGCTGTCTCAGCAGACGGTCCCACCGCCCTTCCTCCCTGTAGCTGTCACCCTCACACTCCCCTGGGGGTGTCTGGAACAGAGGGGCACCACAGCCGGTAAGAAAGCTCCACACTCCCTACCCTCTTATTTCTTGGGAGCCAGGCCCCAAATAGGGTCTAGGAGCCCAGAACCAGCACTGCCTGTTACTCATTCACCAAGATCTGACCCCTTCTGGGACTCAGTTTCCTCATGTTTAACTATGAGTGTTTGAGCTAGAAGACCCTTGAGATACCTCAGGTATCTCAGACCTCTGAGCCTTAGGGTATGGCACAGAAACCCCTACCTGGAACTCGGCATCTGGCTCTGCCTAACCGTAACATACCTGGCGAGCCTCTACGGCTTCTGCTGCAGTATGGGCTGCGGGCCCCAGCTATGCATCCCCTGGCCTGGGAAAGGTTGGAGAGCCAGCTGAAAACACAGAGGTTAGGCGAGACTCCCGGTGGAAGTGGCAAGCACGCCCTCTGGTGGTATGGAAGGGCATTTCTTCTCCATGGGAAAGAGTCACCAGTTTAGGGACCTGCCGCTCCTTGGCTAAGACCCCATACATCAGGATTTCCCCAGGCCGCTCACCTGGGACTCTGCCAGGGAAAACTGATTTTGGTGAAGAAAGGTGAGGGCAGGGCATGTCCAGTTTGCCCGCGGAAGGTCTGAGCATCCCTTGTGGGGCTGAAGGACAGAGCTTCGTGGCCAGCAGTGCCCTGCGTGCTCCCTAGTAACCCAGGTGACTCTGGGGAAGCCAGGACCCACCTTGTTGGATAGCTCCACATGACGGAGTTCAAGACGTGTCACACGCCGAGCATACAGGTGACAGAGTGCGACTCAGGTGAGGCCTGGAGAGGGCATGCTACCTCAGGACCTTGGGCCTTGCTCCTTGCCATTTCTCCCCAAAACCAGCCTCCCTCCCCTGAGGCCCCCAACCCCGTCCTCATCTCTGCCCCTTCTCCTCAGGAGGATGGGTGACGCCCAGACGCAGGTGGCCCCCACACCAACCATCCGGATGGCGACTGCAGAGGACCTGCCGCTCCCTCCACCGCCAGCTCTGGAGGACCTGCCCCCGCCACCACCCAAGGAGTCCTTCTCTAAGTTCCACCAGCAGCGGCAAGCCAACGAGCTCCGCCGCCTGTATAGGCACATCCACCCTGAGCTGCGCAAGAACCTGGCTGAGGCCGTGGCTGAAGACCTGGCAGAGGTCCTGGATTCAGAGGAGCCCACCGAGGGTGATGTCCAGTGCATGCGCTGGATCTTTGAGAACTGGCGACTAGATGCCATTGGGAACCACGAGAAGCCAGCCACCAAGGAGCCCGTGCCCGGTGGCGACGTTCAGGCCACTTCCCGCAAGTTTGAGGAAGGCTCCTTTGCCAACAGCCTAGACCAGGAGCCAGCTGGACCTCGGCCATCCAAAGGGGACGTTCGTGCAGCCCGCTGGCTGTTTGAGACAAAGCCGCTGGATGAGCTGACAGGCCAGGACGAGGCACCCGAGGCTACGGAGAAGGAGCCTGCAGCCAGCGGAGATGTCCAGGGTACCAAGATGCTCTTTGAGACGCGGCCGCTGGACTGCCTGGGCTCCTGCCCCTCCATCCAGGAGCAGAGCCCTTTGGAGCTGCGCTCAGAGATCCAGGAGCTGAAGGGTGATGTGAAGAAGACAGTGAAGTTGTTCCAAACCGAGCCGCTGTGTGCTATCCAGGACGCAGATGGGGCCATGCATGAGGTCAAGGCCGCATGCCGCGAAGAGATCCAAAGCAATGCGGTGAGGTCAGCCCGCTGGCTCTTTGAGACCCAACCTCTGGATGCCATCAACCGGGACCCCAGCCAGGTGCGGGTAATCCGGGGCATCTCCCTGGAGGAGGGGTCCCGGCCTGACGTCAGTGCAACTCGCTGGATCTTTGAGACACAGCCCCTGGATGCCATCCGGGAGATCCTGGTAGATGAGAAGGACTTCCAGCCATCCCCAGACCTTGTCCCTCCTGGTCCAGATGTTCAACAGCAGCGACATCTGTTTGAGACCCGAGCACTAGACACTCTCAAGGGGGAAGAAGAGGCTACAGCAGAGGCTCCACCCAAAGAGGAAGTGGTCCCCGGCAACGTCCGCTCCACCCTGTGGCTATTTGAGATGAAGCCCCTCGACACTCCCAGAGACAATGTCCAAGTGGGTCACCTGCAGCGGGTGGGTCCCCAAGAGGGTGAGGGACTCATGTATAAGCGTCTATCTAGTGACAGCTCCTCAGCACTGTCACCCTCTCAGGCTGCCCCCCAGAGGGACGAGGTGAAAGGGGATGTAAAGACCTTCAAGAACCTTTTTGAGACCATTCCCCTGGACAGCATCGGGCAGGGTGGGCCTCCAGCCCCCAGGAATGTAAGCAGAGCAGAAGGAATTGATTCTGCGGGGCAGTCCCAGGACACAGGATCCCCAGTGTATGCCATGCAGGATGGCAAAGGCCACCTCCATGCCCTGACCTCTGTCAGCAGAGAGCAGGTCGTAGGAGGTGATGTGCAGGGCTACCGGTGGATGTTTGAGACACAGCCCCTAGACCAACTGGGCCGAAGCCCCAGTACCGTCGACGTGGTGCGGGGCATCACCCGGCAGGAAGTGGTGGCCGGAGATGTGAGCACTGCCCGGTGGCTCTTTGAGACCCAGCCCCTGGAAGTAATTCACCACCGGGAGCGGCAGGAACGACAGGAAGAAGAAGGAAGGAGCCAGGCAGGTCCCCAGCCTGAGGCACTCCCCAAGGGCGACGTGCAGACCATCCGGTGGTTGTTTGAGACGTGCCCAATGAGTGAGCTGGCAGAGAAGCAGGAGGCAGAAGTCACAGATCCCACAACTAAGGCCGAGGCACAGTCCTGCACCTGGATGTTCATGCCGCAACCGCTGGACAGACCAGAAGGCTCCAGGGAACAGCACCTGAAAGTTAGCCAGGTCCAGGCTGGAGAAAGGCAGACAGACAGACATGTCTTTGAGACTGAGCCTCTTCAGACTTCAGGTCGTCCCTGCGGAAGAGGGCCTGTGCGATACTGCAGCCGAGTGGAGATCCCTTCAGGCCAGGTGTCTCGTCAAAAGGAGGTTTTCCAGGCCCTGGAGGCAGGCAAGAGGGAAGACCAGGGATCAAGGGCGACCCCTGAACCCATCCCTGCAGGCTCTGTGCACAAGTTCACCTGGCTCTTTGAGAATTGCCCCATGGGCTCCCTGGCAGCTGAGAGCATCCGAGGGGGCGACCTCCAGGAAGAGCAGCCTGTGGGCCCATCAGACAGCAGGGTGCTGGAGAGGCAGGAGACAGCAGCCGAGGGGACCCTGCGGGCTCTGCATGCCACGCCGGGCATCCTGCACCGTGGAGGCATCCTCATGGAGGCCCGAGGGCCAGGGGAGCTCTGCCTTGCCAAGTACGTGCTCCCAGGCCCAGGGCAGGGGGTGCCCCTCATACGGAAGGAGGAGCTAGTGTCTGGTGAGCTTCCCAGGATTGTCCTTCAAGTGCTACGCCGGCCAGATGTGGACAAGCAGGGGTTGCTGGTTCAGGAGGACCCAGTGGGCCAGCTCCAGCTCAAGCCATTGAAGCTTCTAGCTCCAGGCAGCAGCGGGAATGTTGAAGACATGGACCCTGAGTTCCAGCAGTTGCTGGCTTGTGGTTTGGGCACCTCAGGGGCGAGGACTGGGCTGGTGATGCAGGAGACAGAGCAGGGCTTGGTCTCACTGACCGCCTACTCTCTGCAGCCCTGGCTAACCAGCAGGGCCCCCGAGAGGAGCAGTGTTCAGCTGCTGGCCAGCTGCATAGACAAAGGAGATCTGAGTGGCCTGCACAGTCTGCGATGGGAGCCGCCAGCTGACCCAAGTCCAGTGCCAGCCAGCGAGGGGGCCCAGAGGCCGCCCCCAACTGAGAGCATCATTCATGTTCCCCCACTGGACCCCAGTATGGGGATGGGGCATCTGAGAGGTCCCGGGGATACTCCCTACCCGCCACGGGCCATTGGAAAAGCAATCCCTCTGACTGGCAAAGAAAAGCAAGAAGACAGTTGCACTGGACAGAAAGGGATGGCAGCTTTGGCAAAATCAGATGGAGCCATGACTACACCCCCAGGGCCCGGAGTCCCAGACCTCCAGGCCGCCATGCACAGTCTGCGGATGGCAACGGCTGAGGCCCAAAGCCTGCACCAGCACGTTCTGGATAAGCACAAGCGGGGCCCCGCCCAGGGGACTAGTTCCCTCCTCTTCCAGGATGGTCTTCCGCAAGCACCGGCCACAGCCACGGGGTCTGCCCAGACCAACACCAGGCCTGTGGCTGGAGGTGACCCCAGGATCCCAGCAGCCCCCGTAAAGGTCAGTGGGGAACAGAAAGCACTGCCCGGAGGGCTGCCTGGAGGGTGGGTGACTATTGAGGATGGCATCTATACTGCTCAACTCGTGAGGAACTGTGACCAGCCCTCTGAGAGTGAACCCCCACCAAGGGGCAGAGAGACTGCCCTCTCCGCCCAGGCTCCCAGCCCACTCCAGGAAGACCCAGGTCGGAGTCTTGGGTCAGGGCAGGAGGAGCGTGGGGGCTGCATGCCGAGGACCTGGGGGCCTGCAGAAAAAACAATGGCAGGAGTGGGCCCAGGGGGCCTCCGAGCTGCAGAGAACACCCTAAAGGCTGCCTCTTTAGACCGCCACACTCTGGCCGCTGGGCCTCAGGCCGCAGGTGCCAGCCTACATTCCCATAATGCCTCTGTTCCTCCTCCTCCTCTCCCAGCTGCTGTGACAGGACCTGACTGCCCAGCCCGCACCCACCATGATGAGGACTCCTTCCAGCAGGCCTCCAAGCTCCTGCAGGACCCCCTTCTCCACTCCTACAGCAGCCCTGCTGGCCAGAGAACCGCTGGGGAGTCACAGACAAAAACCCCGAAACCGGAACCCACCATGTCCCCAAGGAAGAAGCCCCAGCTGCCCCCCAAACCTGCACATCTAAGCCAGATCCCTCTTCCTCAGAGGCTGCCCAAGCCCTCAGCTCTATCTCCCAGTTCCTTCCAAGGAGCATACAAACAACGTGAGAAAAATGCAGCCATCCCTCGGCCAGCAAATGTCCCCACCACTGCAGGCCAGGGATGCATATCTCTGGCTGGATGTCCCCATGGTCAGAGCCTCCAACATGGCCCCAGCACCATGTCCCCCAAGCCCACCAAGAATCAGGCTGTGGGCAGCAGTCCCCAGGGCCCTGAGCCTCCCAAGCTCTCAGCTGTCTGTGGTGAACCCACCTCACCGCAGCAGGGCCCCAGGCCCCTAGGAGAGAAGCCCATGGAAGGTTCCCAGCAAGGGGCCCCCGAGAGCCCGGAAATTCTGCAGGAAAGCCAGCAAGAGCTCCAGGGCCTCCTGAGCCAAGTGCAGGCCCTGGAGAAGGAGGCAGCAAGCAGTGTGGATGTGCGGGCACTGCGGAGGCTCTTTGAGGCTGTGCCCCAGCTGGAAGGGGCCCCCCAGGCTCCCGCTGCTCCCCGGAAGCCCGAACCCTCAGTGCAGCAGGCCTTTGGAGAGCTGACAAGGGTCAGTGCGGAGGTTGCCCGGCTGAAGGAACAGACCCTGGCCAGGCTGCTGGACATTGAGGAGGCTGTGCACAAGGCCCTCAGCTCCATGTCTAGCCTCCAGCCTGAGGCTAACACCAGGGGCCAGTCCCAAGGACCCCCAAAGGACCACAGTGCCTGCAAGGTCAGTGTCATGGACAGCAGTAGAACCAGGCCCAACTGCTCAGTCCAGGAGGTCAGGGGCCAAACTGCAGTCAAGAGCCAAACCAAGGTTACATGTCATACTGAGGTCCAGAGTCAAGCCAAGGTCAGAAATCACACAGAGGCCAGAGGTCAAGCAGCCTCAACTGCTCCTTCCACCAGGAGGCTGGAGACATTAAGAGAGGATTCAGGCTTCCCTCAAGTCTTCCCTTCCAGCAGAGATTCACCCTCCTCCCCAACCTTCATTTCCATTGAGTCGGCCACAAGGAAGCTTGCAGAAGCCCCCAGCCTCAGGGACAGCCCCGATGTCATGAAAAGCACACACCAGGCCCAGGATGTGGGCCAGGTCCTGCTCCAGCAGAAAGGTGTCCAAGATGAGACCAGGAAGAAAGAAGTCACCCAGTGCTCTGGACAGCCCAAGTCTGCCCCTGCCTCAGCCAGTCCCCTGTCCAGTGTGCGGCAGAAAAGTGTCCTGGAACTGCAGACAGGGCCGGGCGGCTCCCAATGCTATGGAGCCATGAAAAATGTCACTGAGCAGTATGAGGGGGTGGATGAGTGCAGGAACATAGTCCTCACATCCGCCACCATGGTCACGGAGCAGGCAGGGTCGCCCAGGGGCCCAGGTCCCCACCTTGGGCTCCACGCCTCCCCCTTGTTGCGGCAGTTCCTGCACAGCCCAGCTGAGCTCAGTGGGGGCTTGGCAGAAGCCCAGGGGGTTCCGGTGTCCTGTGGCCACTCCCAGCCTGCAGCCCAGTGAGCCCCTCCGCCTCCCACCACGGCTTTCCACCTGTTGCTGGGGCACCTCCCTCCAGGGCACTGAGGTGGGTGCTACCTCCTGCACACACGAGGCCAGGACTAAGATGAAAGGGCATCTTTGGAGACCTGTGAGCGGTTTTCCTTTTGTTGGCTCCATCAATAGGCCCAGTTCTTGGAAAGGAAGGAAGAAAGGTTAAAAAAAGGCCTGCTGAGTTGCCCGGGCATGGGAGTAGGATGGGGGCTCACCGCTGCATAAGGAGGGTGTAATATGTGCAGGCACACATGCTCCTCGTGGGACCCCTAGAGTGACCTGCCACCCTTGGCCTCTATGTCTTTTATTATGAGTCGAAATGTTCTCAGCCATCTGCTCTTTAATTCCTAGAGAGGACAGGGCCAACTAGACACTGGATTGGTCTCCGCTTGGGACTGGTCTGAGGGCTCCAGGAGGGCCCTGCTGCAGCCCCTTTATCACAATCTCCATCGATCAGAGGGTCATCCTGGCAGCCCAAAGGTCACACAGACAAGGTTGGCAATCAGTAATGCCCCTAGAAGCCAAAGGTACTGCCTCCCCGCCCCCACTGCCCCTCACTGTGCATCCAAATGAGAAGGAAACAGTCTGAATAAACCCAAGTTTTATTCTCTCCTCTGTGTGTGTCTGACTGTTTGTGCATCTGTTCCAGAGTCTGGGTTCCCACTGTCAGGAAAACAGCCACCACCACCAGGTACCCTGTTTTCTCGGCAACAATAGTGTTAGAAGGCTGGGAAAAGCCATCTCTTCTTCTACCATCTTGACTGGGACCCAGAAAGTCCTGTCCACTCTTTGCTGCCCCTCTACCTCTGGCCTCCCCTCCTGGTGGTTCTTGGACATCATCCTGAAGTAGCATCTGAGCAGAATCCTGCTCCCGAGTGGGGTAGTAGTAGCCCAGTCAGGCCCGTGAAGGAGGGGGCTTCAACCCAGGAGAACTCCAGTGACCAAGATGGTGGGGCCGCTTCTCCCTGCTCAGGCCAGTGCTGTGGGCGGAGCAGGGGTTCCTAGGAGGGGTAGGGCACAGACCCTGGCCTGGAAAGCAAGAATGATTGGGTGAAGGGCCCTTTTCACTCTTTCAAAAAGCATTGAGCGCCTTCTGCCTGCCAGATCTATTCTAAGAAGCAGAGACACAGAGGTGAGTTCTAATGGGGTTCTGCTCTCAGGGAACTGACTTTCAGAGAGGCAATAAATAACCAGGAAAAACTGGATCAGGAATAAGGACAAGGCACCTGACTGGGCCACTCTCTCACTCTGAGGTAGGGGTCTTAAAATATAGTGATGTGACAATGGTAGGTGACTGCCTTAGAGGACTTGGTCAAGGCAGTCCTCTCTAATGAAAAAAAAAAAATCTCACCTGAGATGTGAATAATAAAGAGCCAGTTATGTGAAAATCAGGGGGAGGCGCATGCCAGGCAGAGGGAAAAGCACATGCAGAAACCCAGAAGTGGGAGCCAGTTTAGTTCCTGGATTTCCTGGATAGCCCTCTGTAGGAAGGGGATTTAACAAATATGATTGTCCGCCCCACCCCACATCCTGCCGCCTACAAGGTTATGTGGAAATTTGCCCACACTTTGCTTCAGTTGAACAGGCAGGCTCCTATCCTACTGCCAGTCAAGGGCTCAGCCCTCCACACCCTCGCAGCCCCTCCTATTCCCTGCTCTGCTGATATGGGGGTGTCCCCTAGGGCAGCAGAGCTCTGACCTGAAAGGAGTCCACAGTGGAAGGCTGTGCTGTGTGGGAGCAATCAAGATACCAAATCTACCCACCTGGGCCCCAAAACCCACATCTGACCGGGCCCCTTGCCACATGTCTCCCTCTCCTGCTCTCTGTAGGACCTCACTTGATTACAGGAACCAGTATCTTACAGCACAACTGTTCTCAGTGTTCTCATCTGCAAAGTGGGCACAATTATAGTACCTACTATTGTGAAGATTAAGTGAATTAATATGTATAAAGTGCTTGGAGCTATGCCTAGCATCTGCAACTCAAAGACATACACTTTTAGTATTATTGTGATTATTAGTTTTAACATATCTCTTCTCACCTCCAGGTGGAGTCCCTGTCTTGTTCATCACAATATCTCTAGTGCTTGTCACAAGTGCCTAGAAGGACTCCATAAACGAACGCACAGATGAATGAAACGATTAAGTGAATTCGCTGATTCATCCAACTAACATTTATTGAGAACCTACTTCACGGTAGGTTCTGTTCGGGGTGCTGAGAATAGAGATGAATAAGGCAGAATTTATCCCTAACCTCATGAAATTTAGGCTTAAAGAGGGAAGGCAATGGATTATAAGCAGATAAGATCATTTCAGAGGGGAGCGACACTGTGAAAGAAATAAAAACAAGGTCAGTCCCCAAGAAGAGGTTGAGAGTTACTCTAGCTTGGGTGGTCCGGGAAGGCATCTCTGCGGAGGTGACCTGAATGAGAGGAGCCGGTCCTAATGGCTGGAGGCAGTGGCCTAGGGAAAGAGTTGGGAGAGGTAGGTGGATGGGCGGTGGGTAGGCGGGCGTCAGCGTGCACCAAGGACAGCAGCGGCCGCTGGTTCAGGCCTCGCGCAGTGCACCGCACTCCTGCCGCCCCACCTGCCACAGACGCTGGGGCTCCGCCTCCCCCCAGCCGGGGAGGGGGCGGGGCTGGAAGAGCGAGCCAAGGCGGAGCGCGCCCGCCTTGGCCCCGCCCCCGAACCCGGGGGAGGGAGTGCGTTCCCACTCGCCGTCGCCAAGGTGACGATGACGTCACCCAGGCTGCCTGGTTCGGAATGTTCGGGTGGCGGCGGCCGTTGCTGGGAAACGCCAGTCCGGCGCGCAGCCAGGGGCCGGCTCCGCGCCACAGACACCGGACGCCAGTACGCTCTGTCCTGGCCGGCCCTGGCTCCGAGCCTCCCTCCGCAATTCCAGAAGGATGCTGGGTTCCGGTCCTCACCCAAGTCGCGGCTCCGCCCGGGACCAACCTGCCGACCCGGCGCCTCCTCCCTTCTTGTTACTGTCTGTCACACCGCCTGTGTCCTGAGCTTGTCCACCAGCCCCCATCTTCACCGCCATCATCCTGCCTCAGGCCCCCACCCATCCCCCCTTTCGCAGACCACTACCATAGCCTCTCAAGTGGTCTTCCTGCCTTCCCCTTGTCTGTCTTTACAGTCTGCCATCCACCTGGTAGCCAAAGCTCTTATCAAAAGCTTTCCAGACCATTTCACTCCTGTATAATACCCTCCACTGGCTTCCCAGCCCACTCAGTCTAAAATCTAACTCTTTTTTTCAGCAGCCCAGAAGATGAGAATGACTTGCCTCTCTGCTCTCCTCTCCAACTTCACTGCCCCCATTCACCTCACCCACATCCCCCTAGTTACACGTGACCTTTGTGTAACTAGACCAAAGGCCTTCTTGACCTTTACGGAACATGCCAAGCGGATTCCTGCCTCAGAGCCTTTGCACTTGTTGTACCCTCTCCCTGGAAGTCTCTCAGATCTTTAGTGGCTAGGCTCCTTCGCACTCAGATTCCAGTTCAAATGCCTCTCCAGAAAGGCCTTTCCTGATCCATACTTACCCTGCCTCCCCTGCCAACCCCTCTCCTGCGCCCCACCCATCCAAAGAGGCCTTCCTCCAAGCAATCATGCTGTTTTCTGTTTTCCTGAGGACGCATCACAACATGAAATTATCTCGTTCGTATATTTGCCTATTGTCAGTGTTCTACATACTATTCCTGCACAGCACACCACCTCAAACCTAGTGGTTTAAACAACAACCATTTTATAATGCTCATGAATTCTATGGGTAAGGACGTTGGACAGAACACAGTGGGGATGGCTTGTCTCTGGGCCATGGTGTGTGTGGAGCCTCAGCTGGGAAGTCTCAAGTGTTGGGGTGATTGGACAACTAGGGTCTGGAAACATCTAAAGATTCACTCACTCACTCACATGTCCGGCAGTTGATGCTCGCTGTTGGCTGGAACCTCAGCTGGGATGTCAGCCAGAACACAAATGCATGGCCTCTCCATGTGACCTGGGCCTCCTCACAGCATGGCAGTCTCAGGGTAGCTGGACTTCCTACATTTGGTCTCAAGGCTCCAAAGGCAGAAGCTGCGTCACCTTTTATGATCTTACCTCAGAAGTCACCCAAAATCACTTCTGCTGCATTCTGTTGGTTACAAGTGAGTCACAAGCCTGCCTAGATTGAATGGAAGGGGTATTAGACACCACCTTTTGATTAGGAAGAGGCAAAGTTCTAGAACATGTGGCCCTCTTTGGGAAGTACCATCTCCACAGTCAAGTCTTCTTCCCACTGGAATATCATCTCCATGCAAACCACTTCTCATTTGTTTATTGTTGCACCTCCAGTGCCTGGAATGGTGCAAAAGCACATAGTAGGTGCTCAGTCCCTGTTTTAGAGTGAATAAATGAAGGTTTCTCTTTGAAGGAGTCACTCTTGCCCAGCTCTTCTCCCTGTAAGTGTATTTCCTGCCCCAGCCCTTGATTTTGGCCATGTCTGCTCTGGAGGAAGCCCAGTGTTTGCATTGGAAGGTGGGAAACAAGTATGGTTTTTTGTTTTGTTTTGTTTCTGGTCAGGGGGTGGGCAGGGTGAGAGGAGGGGAGTTATTGGGGATTGAGAAATGTGTAGCCAAGTGAGGTTCTGGAACAGCGTTCTACTATAAGGGGTGTTGAAAACCCAGTCTGTTTTTTCTCATTCCGAACTCTGCAAATGCCCAGGAGAGAACTGTGGTTTTGTCCTCGGGGCCATGGGGAGCAGGAAAGTGGCCCAATGGGAATGGCGCTTTGGAGAGGTGCCTCAGGCAGCAAGAGGGGAGGGGAGGAGGGCAGATTGTAATGCCTATTAGGAACCATTGCAGAGATCTGCACAAGAGGTGGCCCTGAAGCTACTCACAGGTCTATTAAGATACATAAATTCTCCCTGCTGTGTTATTGATGAAGGACCTTCCAGCTGATCTTCCCAAAGTCCTGAAACACATGCAGTTTCTTCTCGTTTTCACCCGTTCCATGAGGGGTAACAGCAGAGGGGCCAGCCAGAAGTCAGCCCAGGCTTCTCCCTGCCCCAACCCCTCACATGAATCCGTTGTGGCTTCCCAAATCTCTCTCTCCCTTTCCCCTGCCTCCCATCTCCACAGTTGCTCAAGAGTTAGAGAGTTTGGATGTCATATGGTGGCAACAGTCATCCCGAAGTTCTCCCCACCTTCAGTGCCACCCCCAAGCTGTGAATCCTCCAGTCCAGCCCTGCAGTGGCTCCTCTACCATAACACCCACGCGCCTTAGGTTTTCAAGGCGCTTCTTGTGCAGCTGCTCCCTTCTTTATAGCCACTCCTCATCCATTCCCCATGAGAACTGTACCTTCTAGGTGCTTCAGTGTTCTGTCCAGTGTCACGCTGCCCTGGCTTTGCCCAGGGCCAGCTTACCCACCGGGCACTTACCCACTGGTGAGCTTCAGGCCCGCCATACTTTTAGGGGCCCACGAAAAAGTTTTAACTTCTTTTGTTGGGGTTCAGGTAATTAACAAAAACCGAGACAAAGGGTCTTCATTTCAAAGACTTTATTCCCAAGCTCGGGGGTCCGTTTCATTGGGGAGAGAGAAAGAGAGCGGACCTCGAGTCTTGGCTAGTGGGGAAATATATAGCTTAGGCTGGATACAGAAGCAAAAAAAAGCGGTTAGTGAGTAAAAGGAAAAAAAACTTTAACAAACAGAGTCAACTTATTTTCTAGCTAGTCATAAAACTTGGCAAGTTTATTTTCTTCTAACGAACTATAAATCAGGACTTATTTATTTTTCTCTAACAACATACCTAACTTATCTCTTCCCTAGCAAGCAAGCCATAAAACATTTAGTTTATCTATTCCCTAACAAGCAAGCTAAAAGCATTTAGTTTATCTTTTCCCAATTTCTTGACAAGATACTTTGTTAATTTTTTGCTGAAGCAGAAGTTTCTTTCATTTCTCTGGGCCTGGATCCCCACACTTTTAAAATCAGAAGGAAACAAAAAGAACTTTTAAGGAGAAGAAAACGTTTTACTAGGTAACATTAACATAGTCATCTTTATACCACAAGTTTGTAAAATCTATTTTTAAATTTGGAGGAGGGAGCCCATGAAGGCAAAAGGGTCTAAGGCCTTCAAAAGTCATAATGCAGCCCCGGGTTCGCTTATGCTGTGCTCCCTCATTCTCCACCCTGCCATTTCAGGAAGACTTGGTCTTGGAGATTTACCTTGGAGGTGAACTCTTCCACAAAGCAAAAGCCTTCTAGAGTGTCCGCTGACCTCTCTACCTTATGAAGTCTAGTAGCTTGGAAAATCCGGTTGTAACCTTTCGGTTTTGCGTGTCTGTCCCCTACTGTACTGTTAGTACCTGCAGATCAATACCCCCACCCCCACCCCACCCCCACCCCTTTTTCTCCATCTTGGTACCTGCTCCCCACCTTTGGCAGAGCTGCCAAATTAGACGCCAGCTCACTTCAAAGAAAACTCTGGCAGAGCCTCCGCCTGGAGGCACTCGGGGAGAGCCCCCGGGCCCCAAACCACGAACGAGGGGGGTTGGGGTGCACGCCCAGAGCCACCCGAGTCCGGGGGAGGGGCGTGCGTGTGCCTGGCTGCAGGCCGCGGGGGCGGGTACTCGGGTCTCACAGGCTGCGTTTCTGCCACACACCCCTGCCAGCTCCACCCGTCCAAGATCAGAAGGAGGAAGCGGGCTCTGCAGCTCGCTCTCTCTTCTTGCCCAAAAGGTCCGCCCCCCTCTTCCGACGCACCCCCTTCCTCCTCCTTCTCCCCTCCCACCCCCTCCGTTAGATTTCTTACGAAAAAGTGCTGCTGAGAATTCCCAGAAGGTCCCGGATGTGAAGTCACTGGCGTGAGGTCACGGAGTCTGGTTCCAGGAATCAGACGCATGTGGGGGAGGAAGGAAAAGCGCAGAAAACGAGGGAGGTGGTGGAGCCTTGGGTGCTGCCGGCAGGGCGGCGTGGTCCCGGGGCCCTGTCTCCAGCCTGGAAATTCTGATGCCGGGAGAGGTTCCCAAGGAAAAGATGGCTCACTTCTCCCATACTATAGCAATGCTAACTAGACCCCTTTATACCGATCCGTGTTAACCAGGATCAAGAGGCTGGAACAGGTGGGGAAACAGGAGTATTTATCCACTGTCCTGAGAGGGGACAAGACACGGGACTGGGCCTTCCAGTTTGGAGGACAGCTTAGCAATAAGATCAGAATTTTAAATGAACATGCCCTTTGACCCAACCAATTATGCACATAGGGATTTACCCTACAGGCATGAACACAAGGATAAAAGCATATAAGGTGGTTCACAGCAGCATTGTTTGAAATACCAAAGGTTGGAAGCCACCTAAATGCCCACCGTCAGGGAACTGGTTAAATGAAGTATGGTGCTTGCATACCCTGGGATGCTATGCCTCGTGGAAAAAGATGAGGCAGTGTGTGGGGGCTAAACGTCCAAGCTATGGTGTTGGGTGCACAAAACCGGGGAGCATCCTCTGAACTTCTGTCTGTGCTCCCCACTGTGATGATGTTTTAAAGATATATATATATATTCACGTAACCAATACATGTTGAGCACACGCTGAGGATCTATAGCAGTGAACAAAACAGGCTAAGCCGGATTCCTGCAGTGTATGAGAGTGGGGAGGGGTGGGGGTTAACAAATGAAATGCATGAGGTGTGGATAAGTAAGTGCTGTGAAGGAAATGAGAGCGAGGAGTTTAGAAAATGTGAGAGATTGTGCTGTTTTAGGTGGAGTGGTCAGGAAAAGCCTCTTGGACAAGTTGACAGATGAGCAGAGAATGAGGGGAGACTGCTTCAGATATCTGCCAGGCAGAGGGCAGAGAAAGTGCAAAGGCCCTGATACAGGATTTTATGTGGCGTGTGAGCAGCAGTGGGGAGTCCAGTGTGGCTGACGCAGAATGGGCAAGGGGCAGAGTGGTAGAAGGGAGTGTAGCCAGGTTGTGAAGGTGAGGGATGGGGACAACGGAGGCCCTTGTAGGGGCTTTGGCTTGAGATGGCAAGCCAGAGGAGGGTACTGAACAAAAAAAGTGACAGGATCTGACCTAGGCTTTAATAGATCACTCTGACTGCTGAGCGGAGAGAGATGACAGAGGGTCAAGGGTGGAATCAGAGCCCCGGGACGAGGTTGTCGTAATGGTCCAGGTGAGACACAACGGTGGCTGGACAAGAGTGATAGAAGATGTCAAGCAGTGATGTGCTTCTAGGTGTCTTTTGATAGTAGAGCTGATAGAATTTGCTGATAGAGATGTGCCTGGGAGAGGAAGAGGAGTCGGGAGTGACTGTAACTAGAGCATGGAGTTGTCCTTTAGCAGGGCTGGGAAGACGGTGGGAGGAGCAGTTTTAGGGAGTGGGGTGAGGAGTCAGTAGTCTGAGCTGCTGACGTAGGTCAGGGGTTCAGGGGTAATAGAAATGTGAGAGTTGTTTGGAATTTATAGCAGAGAGGCACCCAGAGGGAAACAGCTGGCGCACTTGGATTGAGAAATTTGAGAAGCGTTTACTAAACGGCTTCCACAGAAGTGTATCAGGGGTAGAGAAACCACGAGGGCAATGTAGGGCCCGGGGCGAGTAGCAATGGGGACTTTACCCATTCTTAGTTCTGAAGGGGTGAGAGGAGGAAGTTGCTGGAATCTGGGGGCAGCGCAATGGACAGGACAGCATCCAGACTGCTGTGATTTCATCCGAAGGGAGTTTACTTTTGATATACAAGTTTGAATGTTGCCAACGGATAGGAGCTGAGGCCTTTGGTGGACGAGTGCAGCCAGTCGATGGCAGCCCTACAGGGAGAACGTATACCCTCACCTCGCTCTCCTGCCCGCCCACCGGCCCACACCCTCCAATGACGCATGTCTGTGCTGGCCAGTGGTCAAACCCCAGGGGAAGCGAGGGGGAAAGGGAGCCCACAGGTCACCAGTCACCAGGCACAGAGCTGGGAGGAAAAGGGCGGAGAGTGGGTCTGGAGCAGCGAATGGAAGACCCCTGCCTGGGGCTCAGGGGTCAAGATGATATGCAAAGCTGTGGCTGCAGAAAGGGCCACTTAGTGGTGGACACAGATAGAAAAGGGCGGAGGTCGCTGCCCTGGGGCCATCCGATATGTAGAGACGGCGAGATAAAATAGAACCAGGGAAGGATCCTCCTCCAAAGGATCAGTGAGTGAGATAGGGGAACAAAGGGTGTCCCATGGCCAAGTGACGCAAGTGTGTAGGAGGGGGGGGGGGAGGAAGGCGGAGGGCTGGGATAAAGCCTCTCCCTAGGTCAAGTAGGATGAGAGGTGTACATGTCCGTGTGTGTGCGTGTGCGTGTGTATATGTGTGTGCGTGCATGCGTGCGTGCATGTATATGTGTGTGCATGTGTGCGCGCGCGTGTGTGTGGTGTGTGTGCGTGTATGTGTGCATGTGTGTGTTGTGTGTGTGTTGTGTGTGCATGTATGTGTGCATGTGTGTGTGTGGTGTGTGTGTGTGTGTGTAATGTACACAGACTATTTCTGGAAAGAGACAAAAAAAACCCCAACACCTATTAATAGTGCCTCTAGTAGAGAAACCTAGGGTAAGCAGAAGGAAGGAGATCCAATTTTTCTTTTTTTTTTTCCAGTTTGGATAGTTTTAACCACGTACACATATGAATTTTTCAAATCCACAGCTTTCCCTAATCATCTGGAAGAGGCTTGAGGCAGCACTGGGACTTGGGGAGTCTGGGAGGGCGGGCTGAGAAGAGAGATGACGGACAGATCTCCCTGCTCAGTTCAGCCAATGGCTTTAGGAGCAGTGACATCAAAAATCCGACAGTCCATTGAACCATGTCCTGTTGCTTGCTGTAATCCCTCAATTACCTGTCCACACCCCACCCCACCCCACCCCAGCCTCTGCCCAGCCCAAGATGTCAGGTAAACTCTTCCATGTCTCAGTATCTTTTCAATAATTTTACATGTCCTGCTTTAAGATTCTCAATCTTGTATATCAAAAATAAATCCCCTTCCTTGATGAAACCGTACAAGCTTGGATGTTGTCATCTTGGAAGAGAGTGATTCCTCATAATTCTCTTTCTGATGAAGTTGTGCTTTTCAGAAGGTATTTCTCAGCAGAGCCCAGAATCCTTTGGATGAGAAGCTTTTTTTTTTTTTTCTTCTTTTCGGTTAAGAATCGGCTCCCAGTGGAAATTATTTCAGGATTGTGCACTGATTCTTGTCTCTGTTGCAGATCCTGAGGATGGGGACCCACGTAAGGGTCCCAGGGGAACCACACTCTCAGGCGCCTCAGGCCAACTTCAGGAGGCAGATTCTCAACAGGTGGAGGGATGGAAGAGGAGAGGAGGGGTTGGTGGAGGTGCCACTGGGAAACCTGTGTCCCCTCCTTCCTGGGGCTGCTTTGTTGGGCTGGGAGGGGCTACTCCCAATCTAACAGGCTTACGATCCCCCAACCCCAAAAGGAAGGGCCAGAAGAGGGAGGGGAGCCACCAGCCCATCTCGCCTCTTGGGGATTGCCTGTGACATGCTCAGTCTGGGCTGCACTTCACTCTCCATCTCCCACTCTTAGATTAACTGAAACTTCTCACTGTGCCCTAGCCTTTGAGTCCCTCTGTCTCTGTCCTGCCAGAAAGAAAATTCCAGGAGAGCAGAGACCTTGTCTGTATTATTTGCCACTCATGATCCGTGACTAGAACAGTGTCTGTGTAGTTCAGTAAACAGCACGAGTGAATGGGCAAAACGACTTTTCCACAGTGCAGTCTGTATCTCACAGAAGAAATCTGGAAGGCTCCCCTGACCATCCCTCATTGCACACGCTGTCTCCATCATCTCCTCAGAACAGAGGTCCTGGGCTGGCAGCCTGCGCTCGGTGGTGTACCGGAGCCACAGCTGCCCAGAGAGTGTGCACACCTCTTCCAATTTCACTCCCAGTGCCAGTAGCTTGAAACCAGCTAATGGTGGGAGAATTTACACCATGGAAATTGGCAAACACTGCAAATCATAACTTCTTTTTTTTTTTTTTTAAGCCCAGAGAACTGGTTGTTAAACATTTACTACCAGCATACTGCTGCTTCGGGTCTTGTTTGTGCCACCATAATTCAGACAAGTCAATCTGTCCCTCTGAGCTTCCATTCTCCATGAGATGGAGATCCCGCGGAACCTACAAAACAGGATTGTCTGGAGGATTAAATGTGATTACAATCCTGTAATGTGTTTAGCACAATGTTTGGCTTCTAGTAAAAACACGATCCACTCGAGTATCGTTCCAGTTATCTCTTGCTGCGTAACAAACCACCTGCACAATTTCATGGCTTAACACACATTTATTTTGTTCAAGAATCTATACTATGGGCAAGACTTAGTGAAGATAGTGCATAACTAAAGAGGTATGAAGGCTGGGGATTGGGATCATTTGAAACCACATTCACTCATACATCTGGGATTTAGTGCTGGCTGTCAGCTGGGACCTTGGCTGGGGTTAGAGATCAGAACACCCACACATGGCTTCTCCATGCAACCCGGACTCTCTCACAATATGGTGGCTGGAGTTCAAGGGTGAGTGTCCCAAAAAAGCCAGCCAATAGCTGTATCACCTTTTTTTAACTTACCTTGGATATCACACAGTATCATTTCTTCCACATTTATTGATTAGAAGCAAGCCACTAAGGGAGAGGAATTAGATACCTCCTTCTGATAAGAAGAATGTGAGTTTGTGGACATGTTTTTAAACCATCACAGCTAGTATTATTGTGGCCCTTAGTGTACTCCAGCTTCTAGTAAGTGTATTACCCTCCTTCTTAACCTTAGCTCCCTGTGGGAGAGCAGAGATTCACTGGATCATTAACCCCCCCACCCGCCACCCCACCCCGCTGCTCCCCGAGTGAATTTGGACCCTGTCCACAGCAGGGTTACAGAAGTGAATGTCCTCCTGCAGAAGCTGGCCCTGACATTTGTGCCTCAGTTCCTTTGGATGACATCCCTGGTTGGCCTCATAGAAACTGAGATGAGGGACCTGGGCAGAACATAGCCCTGAGGGCAGGTGGTTTCACCAGCAGGACTGTGACCCCCAACAGGCTGTACTCATTCTGGGGCGACCATGAGGGTAAGCTTATGGCTTCAGTAAACTCCCTCACAAGCCTGCACTGAAGTTAGGATGGCAAGATCACTGTCTGGGAGTCAGGTCAAGGGCTTGTGGTATAATTTCTTTCTTGGACTTGGGTTTCCCACTCTGTCAATTGGGAATCAGTAAAGGTCTTTGGTTGGGCATTTGGAACAGATCATCATATTATTTAGAAAGCTGGGCTCGAAGCCAATCTCTTCTTCTGGCAATGGTTGACAGGGTCACAAGCTGCTCTCACAGGAAATAGGAAAAGACAAGCAGAGAGAAATCTCCCACTTTCTTCTATGGGACATGAATCCATCTCACAGTGTCTTTGAGATCCACAAAGCTGGGGTCCAATCACAGTGAGAGAGAGAGAGAGAGAGAGAGAGAGAGAGAGAGAGAGAGAGTGTGTGTGTGTGTGTGTGTGTGTGTGTGTGTGTGTGTGTGATGATTAGTGGGGAATTTCTCCAGGAAAGACTCAGAAAACCTTCATTTCTTTTTTTTTAAAAGATTTTTATGGGGAATTGGGGGATGGGAACAGCGCTGGGGAATTGGGGGAAGGGGAACAGACAAGTTGCTGTCCTTTTGTTCTTCAGTCTAGTTGTGGAGGAGGTTGCTTCACTGGCCCAAGTTGGCACCATCATTGCGCTCTTCCCGGGCGAGGCAGATCAGTCGCCGGCTTCTGGACGGCCGCTCATGGTGGCTGCTGGCCGCTCACGCTGGCTGCTGGCTACACACAGTAACCCATGGCAACCCACTGCAGCAGGGGCTGCAGCCTACGCCGTTGCCGGGACTCCAGGTTGAGCTGTTGTTCAGCATCTTAGCTGTAGAGGGCAGTGTCACTGGCCCTCATATGTGGGATCCCAACTGGGGCCCTCTGGCGTCCCAAGCCAGCTCTTAACCAACACGCCACTCGGTTGGCCCCAGAAAACCTTCATTTCAATTGAGCACCACACAAGAGCTAGAGAACACGCTGGGAGGGGCTGAGGGGAATAGGGAGGTGCAGAGTGGTCAGGCCCAGCTTCTCAACTGGCCCCAGGCCCCTCCAGCCTCAGCTGCCTCTCCTCTTGTTCCTTTCCTGCCCCAGCTTATGACAGCAGGTTCATGTCCTCTTTCAGTGGATCTTCCAGGTGAGTCTAAGAAGGGCCAAGGCCCCTGGGTCAAGGAGTTCCATCAGACCTTCCAATACAGCCTCCAAGGGCATTAGAACCTCTGCCCATGCTGGTTCCCTCGCAGGGAACTCCAGGACCAACTGGACTGAGCTACCTCTGACCACAGAGGGACCCTAGGCACATCAGGTCCTTCTGGGCCTCAGGTTTCTCCTTTGTAAAATGAGCAAAGTTGTCCAGAGCAGCTTTTCCTACAGTGGGGTTCATGAATCTCATGGCCAGTAAGCATATTTCAGAGCAAACACTACCTTGGGCTCAATTTCCCCAGAAGTGGACCGAGACAGAGATTTAAGTGCAGGTGTTTCACTTGGGAGGTGATCTCAGGAAGCACTAGTGGAGAAAAGAGAAGGTAGATGGCGATGGGAAGGGAACCACCCCAAGGCGTGTTGCTGAGTAATGGCTGCTGTCAGAAACTACGGCTCAGTCCCACTGGGCCCTCTGGGACGCGGTGTGGAACAGCTTCAGAGCACCCCACCCTAGCCCACTAGAGGTCCAAGGCTGCAGCCAGGGGTATCAGCTCCCTGGCACTTCCAGCCTGCCCAGGGTGCCAGCTGAGCATGGTCCTGTGGCCAGAGAAATCCCCCGGGCTGAAAGCCACATGTGTTTTCAGGGAGAGGCCATCAGTACGTGTGAAAATTGTGAGTGTGTGAGGACATGAGTAGGGCATGGTAGGGTCTGCTACACAGACAAGCAATTGTGTTCACGCACTTTTCATAAATGTGAGATCAGCAGTAGTTTCCACAGAAATCCATTACCTTTGTAATAATTATTATGGTCTTGTGGGTATACCTGTGCCCTCACAAGTCAGTCGGCCAGTTCAGCTCAGCTCATATTTAGTAAAGAGAATGCCATTAACTGTTGTTCCACTCGCTAACATATTTTCACGTTATTGCTTATATTTGTTGTATTTTCATTTTATTGTTAGTATCATATGGCAGTATGGTCCCAAATCATAAAGATAGATCAGTAGGTCAAAAGAGGCTCATTAAAGCACAAAAGTACTACTGAAAACAGTATTAAAAAAATGCAATATAAAATGGGATTATGTATACCAGTATAGATGAGGTTGTGGAATGAGATAATTTTATACATATACAAGCAGGAAAAAGTGAGAATCAGAATAGACAGAAATGGGAATGAACAACTGAAAATGGGATTTTGTTAACTGGTAATACATTTCCTCAGGGCCCTAAGGCACCATGTATTATGCAACTTTGTCAAATAGTGGCACAAAGCCCATTGAGACATTTGCATCATCTTCACTGCAGGCCCTGTAAGTTAGTTAGAAAACCAACCAAGGCTCCCAGAATATGGGTAACGTAATAACGTCCAGTGTGATATCAATCCATTTTGTCATGAAAGACAGAGAAAAGATTGAAACCAGAGAAGTACCATTAACGTGGTCTGACTTACAGTGAAAACCAACACAATTCACACTGGGGCTTGTAAACTGAGTCACAGGCTAGCGAGGAATGGTGTGATCAGAGAAAAAGCAGAGGAAGCCCTTGGCAAAATTCCTCGATCCAACAACACTTTTGGATGTCACATAAAATCAATAGCACACACACAGTGTGAAAGAGCGATTGCTGTCCTGAATGAGTGCTAGCAGACAATTGGCTTTATTGTGGAATGAAGCCACTTGTGGCAAGCCTTGTTCATTGTTGATCTAGAATGTATTCCATCCCTTCTTTCTTGCTAACAGACCCGATTTCGATCCATGCACCAAGGTCTCCAGTCTCAAGCAACTGATGACAAGCGACCTCCATTGATCATGACCAGCCCATTCCCCACTTTCCCAGTCTCCCTTGCGGCTATAGGAGACCGTAAGACCCAGTTCTGGCCAATGAAATATGATGGGAAGTCTGCTGAGGGTACTTCTATGAGAACTTCTGGGTTTTAAAAATAAAATAGACATACATGCTGGGACCCCTCATCCCCCCTTCTTTATAACTTAACCATGGTCATGATGTCTGGTGCTGGGCAACCATCTTGCAAATATGAAGCAACCAGCACAAGGTCAAGCCTGGGAGGATTCTAGACACCAGCACTGACATCACTGAATATGGAACGGCTGCCTACTTTCAGGCTTCCTGTGACGGCACAGAAGTGAGCCTCTCTCTGTTTGAAGCCACTCTGTTACCGGTAGTTGAAAGCATTCCTAATGGGCGTACCACTGATGTGTCTGCTCTCCACATATTTTCAGAAAACACAGGAGGGAAATGTTACCCGATGACTTTTTGTTCTATTTATCACTAAATTCCTTTGTAAGATAAGACGAATGAGCTTCTGGATTCAGTTGTGCTTAGCAATGTGGGGAGCCCCAGCCGGAAAAGGAAAGGGACAAGCCTGAGATCAAGCCATGTAGTGCCCTGGTTCCCTGTCCGTGAGTGTCCACACATTGGATGAATCCTTCAATGAGGGGCCACTGCCCGTCCCAAGGCAGCCAGCCCACTCCGCTCAGTTCTCTCCTTCTGGGGCTCCCCTCGTCCTCTTTTCCCTTCAGACCTACTGCTCGTAACAGCTCTGCTGCTGCTCATCCAGGTTACTCCTACACCCACACACATATAAATAGTCTTTTTGTAAATAAGCTTTCCTAAAAATCATCCTAGTTTGAGTGTGCCATTACCCGTTGGTACACTGACGGATCAACCAGCATCAATTCATGGATTTAAAAGAAAACACACAGGGCCGCCCGAGTGGGGCGTTGGTTAAGAGTTGGCTTGGGTCGCCAGCTCTGAGCAGCAGGGCCCCGGTTCGGATCCCACATGAGGGCCAGTGACACTGCACCCTCTACCGCTAAGATGGTGAACAACAGCTTGACCTGGAGCTGGGCTGCCGTGAGTCGCTGGGGACGGCATAGGCTGCAGTGGGCTGCCGTGAGCTACCATG